TTCAGTCAAGTGGGAGTCTTCCATGAAAGATGAGATGGACTCATTTATGTCAAATAAGACGTGCGAATTAGCTGAATTACCACTAGGCAAGAAAGCGCTCCATAACAAGTGGGTTTACAGGATCAAAGAAGAGAACGATAGAAGCAAACACTACAAAACAAGATTGGTTGTCAAAGGTTTTCAGCAAAAAGAAGGTATTGATTACAATGAAATTTTCTTTCCAGTCGTGAAACTGTCTACAATTAGACTGTTGTTAAAAATTGTAGTTGTAGAGAATCTACATCTTGAGCAATTAGATGTAAAGACAGCTTTCCTTTATGGTGATTTGGAGGAAGAAATCTATATGAGGTAGCCATAAGGCTTCATAGAGGCAGACAAGAAAAACCAGGTATGCAGGTTAAAGAAGAGCTTGTATGGTTTAAAACAACCTCCTAGACAATGGTACAAGAAGTTCGATAGCTTCATGAGTAGCAGTGGTTTTACCAGATGCCAAGCAGATCATTGTTGCTACATCAAGAAGTTCGACAACAGCTTCATTATTTTATTGTTGTAAATTGATAACATGCTCGTTGTAGGCTCAAACATGCAAGAGATTATAAACTTGAAGCAAAAATTGTCGAAGCAATTTGTAATGAAAGATCTGGGCACTGCAAAGCAGATTCTTGGGATGAGGATTAAGAGAGACACAAAGTCAGGGACCTTGATGTTATCACAGGCTGATTACATCAATAAAGTACTCTCCAGGTTCAATATGCAAGATGCTAAACCTGTAAGTACATCTTTATGTGTTAATTTTAGACTCTCCAAAGAATAGTCACCAAAGATGGAGGAAGAACGTGCACACATGGTGAAGGTATCGTATGCCTCAGCAATTGGAAGTCTAATGTATTCCATGGTTTGTACTAGACCAGATATTGCTCATGCAGTGGGAGTTGTTAGCAGGTACATGAATAATCCGGGCAAGGTACACTGGGAAGTAGTCAAATGGATCCTCAGATATATGCGGGGTACTAAAATCAAAGCACTTTATTTCAAAGGTGGAGATATGATACTGATAGGCTATGTAGATGTTGACTTAGCCGAAAATGTTGATATCAGAAGAAGCACTACAGGGTATGTCTATACTCTAGGAGGTATTGCAGTGAGTTGGGTTTCTCAACTACAGAAGATAGTTGCTCTCTCTACAACTGAAGCAGAATATGTTGTTGTTACAGAAGCCAACAAGGAGATGGTTTGGCTCCAAAGTTTCTTGGAAGAGTTAGGCAAGAAACTAGAAAACAATGTCTTGTATTGAGATAGTCAAAGTGCTATCCATCTAGCGAAGAATCCGTCTTTTCATTCCATGACAAAGCACATACAATTACGATATCATTTTATCCGGTCTCTTTTGGAAGATGGGATTTTGAAACTTGAAAAGATTAGTGGAGCTTAAAATCCGACAGACATGTTAACAAAGACGGTGACTACGGACAAACTGAAGTTGTGTTCAACTTCAGTTGGCATGCTAGAGTAACAAGACCATAAATGATGTTGCATTGATCGAGGTGTGAAGACATATTAAAATCAGTCTTCAAGTGGGAGATTGTTGAAAAGTCAGCATGTTTTTCGGTGCTTTAAATGCACCGAATATGTATCGAAAAAATTGTCAAAAAGGGAGCATCTTATGTTGATTTTTTAGTATGGGGAAATTGTACTTTAGTCACTGTACTTTAGGGTATTTTCAAGATTAATCCTTAAGCTTCTACTATAAATACCCTAACTCATTAGCTTCAAAATCATCCCAAATCATTTTTTTCTCCACTACTAAAGAGTTTAGAGAGCTTTCTTGTGAGTTGTGAGTGTTTTGTAAACACCTGTAAATTTTTTCTCTTTAGTAAAAGATCTGCAGCAGTCCGGAGACGTAGGCATAATTGGTTGAACTCCGTTATCAATTTCAGGTATTATTTTTCCGCTTTTATTTCGCATTCTCACTAATCTAATTAGAGGGAAATTTCTCGTTTATTTCCCAACATGCTTGATTAACCTACATGGTGTTGGGACCCCTCCGATGATTTCTTTATAAAGTTTGCTTATTACACGGTGCATTGAAATAGTTGGAATGATTCTAGCCCTCATTATAATCTTGCTTGGTGCTTTGATGGCCCCTCAAAATTATAAGCTTCGTGTGACTCGTTCTTAGGAATCGTTTGATGACAAACTTGAAGCGATCCCGCCGTGGCATTATTATGGATTTCGAATGTCTCGTGTGCGACAACAGTGAAGAAACTATCCTCCATTCCCTAAAGGATTGCTCAACTGCTTGTAGTGTTTTGAACCAACTCATTTAATATAAATTGCAGGGAGTTTCTGTTCCCTTATTCTGTTTGATTGGTTTTATTCTAATCTTTATTTTCCTACATGATTAAATGATCTCTATCACTGGAAACATCCGTTCAGGATTCTTGCTTAGAGACTATGGAATCAAAGATGTTGATTCATTTTTAATGGAGATGTCTGGTCCACAGAGGCCATTATTCACTCGGCAAAAGCTTGGTCACAGACGATTAATGATCGTCCTAAGACCATCAATCGAGCAACGACTTATGTTGTAAAGAGGCACAACTAGAGACCCCAAAGCACTAGAGTTACTAAACTTAACTTCAATGGTGATGTTCATCTCCCATCGATAGAGGCCTCGGGTGGGGGTGTGCTTCGTGACTCCAATGGAGATTGGTTACTAGACTATAGCTGTTATCTTGGGCGATGCTCGATTCTTCACATTGAGTTCTAGGTAGTGATGGATAGGCTCCAAACTTCTTGAAACCGTGATATACGTGGAATTGAGGTTGAGACGAACAAGTCTGATGTAGTTAAAATTCTCAATTTACCCGGTCAACGCCATGAACTAACAGTTATTCGATGTACTCGCGAGCTCAGGCAACGGAATTGGAGTATAAAAATTCCCCACGTGAATGGAGAGGCTAACAAGGTGGTCGATGCTTTAGCCAAGTCAAGAAAAAAGACGACTACAAGATTATCTAAGACTCACGAACCATATGTTGTGATCCTAAAGCTACTACAAGCTAATATGAATTACCACTAGTACAGTGGCCGTCTTTGTAACCCCAAAAAAAGACAAGTGAAGCCCAAAACGAATGATTTGAACACATGATTGTTATTATCAACCATCATTTTACTGTCAAAATATGTAATTTTAGTTACCAATGGGTTGGTTCAAATGGTAAGCAACCTAATATCACTTAAGTAACTTAATATCACAAAAGTAGGTTTTGAGTTCGAGCCTTTATGTATGTAGAAAAATCTCGTTAAGAAACTCACCTATCAAAGTCAAGCGTACAACACATGTTTGGACAAAACCCCTTAGCAACCAGGAGGAAAATAAAAAAAGAAAACACATAGAATTTAGAAACCTCCATCTTTTTATATCAAACAATGAACATGATAGCAATTACATTTCCCGGAGGGCATGTGGATACCAAAACTAAACATAGAAAGAATACACTAAAATAAAAATTACTTCATGCCTTACAGCACAATCCACAAAGTGAGAGCTTCATTATTCAAGTAAGAGATAATATCGAAACCCTTCAGCCTCAAGCTACTGCTCTCTCTTCAAACCTAAACTTCTCCGTAATGAATCTATTTACTCGATTCCGAAAACTTATTATGCGACTCTTGTTTTCTCTTCCGTGTAAATCTTCTAGCACGTCGAGTAGGGTGGTTCCCAAGCAAGGAGATGTGACAGGTTCAAGCTACCCAAGACTTCGTGCAGCTCCTATTACTCGTCTCACTTGCATTACAACAAGACCATTGTCAATTGCATCGAGTTCTTCAACAATAAGTTGTCGCAAGAGGGGACATCGAACGGTCGTAAATATGATGTTTTGGTTTGATCGTATCATGATACCATATACCTTTGTAAGTGAAAACGTTATTGGTGCTCTCATTCGTTATATACTTTCTTCTTTATTGGGTTTACGAATCTACGTGTCCTCAGAAATTTGGAATATTTGTTCTATGTTTCTACATTGAGAATAATATAAATATGTTTATGTTTGTTTTTGATAATTTGATTTCAATCAGATTTTTTGAGTCTCCAATCAGAGCCTAGAGGATTTTAAAGCATGAAGCTTATAAAGTTTTAAATTATGATTGGAAAGTGTTATAAAAGATATTTTTAAAAATATTTTTAAAAAGTGCACGAATCAAGTGACATATGTGTTAAATGGATTGTTTTTTATTCTTTGAGGACCCAAATTTAAGTACCATAAACGTCAGGGGTGTGAGCGTTTAATATTAGAGGGTTGAGAATTATTTATGAACTGATATTGCCTTATATTTACTCAGATTAATAAAAAAAAGTACAAATTAAAATTTAATTGTTTAAGATTATTGTTTTAGATGATTTGTAAAAGATAAAACGTCTATTTTAAACATAAATTGAAAATATGGTATTTGAAGAGAAAAATATAACTTTCAACTAAAAGTGTTTTTCTACAATAAAAACTAAAAATTTTATCTTTTGAGGTTAAATTAAAGATTACTTTTTCAACCATGGTTTTAAATTAAAATTACGAATTGTTTATGAATAGAAAATCATTTTTTCATAGACAGAAGCATTCTTAAATTTATTGGTGTGACAGTTCATACATAAAAATAACGTAATAAGAGTATTAACTTTAATTTTTTTTAAAAAAATTAAAAATGAAATTAACCTAAAAAGATATAAAAATAATAAAAACTACCCTATTACTCATTTTAGATTTGAGAAGGAAAAATATATCGGTTGTTTGATATCAGGTCGCTCATTTTATGTTGATCTGACATAATCAAAGGTTCCCAAATGCTCCCACTGTAGTAGCCATACATTTTGTTGTCAAAGTTGCGCTTTAAGCTTAAAGCTGGAAAGTAAAACACGTCAACGGTTGAGAACGCCCTAATCATAAGGCAACATACTAATCTAGGTGTGCGCGACCGCAACATAGTTTGGCTCAGCATCTTGTAAAAACTTCAAAACCTTTCGCGATCGACCAACCGAGAAAAGAGAGAAACTTGAAAATATAACATTTTGGAGCTCTAGATTTTTTCACAATTCATTGGCTCCGAAAATGGTATGTACGTTGTCTGTTTACTTTATTCCCCTTTCCAAATTTGACCTCTGTTTGCCCGATAGAGAAAGCCGGAAACTCTTTGATCTAAGCTTCATGGTTTTCTGTCATGGTCATGGCAGATTCGATTTATTTTGTTGCAAAACAGGCAAGGCAAGACTCGTCTGGCCAAATACTACGTTCCTCTCGAGGACTCCGAGAAGCACAAAGTCGAATACGAGGTATTACAATATTCATTTTCATCGATTATTTGGAAACCCATTCTTTTCACCTCCTACGGTTTAGAATTTGGGTGAATTTTTTAGCTAGAGTTGTTGAATATTTTTTATTATACGTTTACAGGTTCATCGATTGGTGGTTAACAGGGACCCCAAATTTACTAATTTCGTGGAGGTTGGTATAATCTCATACTCTAGTTTTTTTCTTCTTCTCAATAACATCATATCCATTAAACTGAGAAGCATATGCAATAACTTCAAATTCTTAGTTTTAAATATGTTTTATTAACTTTCTGTTGTTTTTGGTGAATTCCTAATATTTCAATTTTTTACCATTGGAATTTTTTTGTAAGCTGTGAAAGAGTACCTATTAAATGATGGTTTTAGATAAGAGACCACAGGAGAAGTTAACTATAAAAATTGATGTAATACAAAAGTAGGGCAAGACTTAGACTTTAGGCAAGCAATTGCTGAATGTTTGATTGATTATATGCATTCTTTTTGCAGTTTCGTACACACAAGGTAATCTACAGGCGGTATGCTGGATTGTTTTTCTCATTGTGTGTCGACATAACAGATAATGAGTTGGCATATTTGGAGTCTATCCATTTATTTGTGGAGATATTGGACCACTTTTTCAGCAATGTTTGCGAGCTCGACTTGGTTTTTAATTTCCACAAGGTATGTTATCATCAACTTTTGCATGAACATCACTTGCTAGATTCAGTTTTTCTATCCGATTCACATGAAACTGCGAGTTCCGGTAACCAAAAAGTCCCCCCCCCCCTCTTCCTTTTGCTTCATTTCAATTGAATTCATTAGTTTGTGATCTCAAGTGTCAACTCTTTGCTTATCTTTATCTAACTTGTCAAAGCTAGTTTTTCTGTCTTGTCTGGCATTGATTTGTTCAATTTGTTTTTCGAACAATCCATGTGCTAACTTGATATGAATTTGATTATACATTACTCTCATTGGTTTAAATGTGTCTATAGCGGTTGATTGTCATGTTCCTCTGAATTCACTTCACCGTTTTCATTTGAAATTCATCAAGGTTTATCTGATACTCGATGAATTCATTCTTGCTGGAGAGCTTCAAGAAACAAGCAAAAAGGTTTGCTTCCCCCCTACCCCCCATTTCTAGACTTTTTACTTATTATTTCATGTTTGATGAATTTTATTGACATTGCAACTTTTCTTCTCTCCCCATTCATCTTTGTTACCTTTGGAATTGTTAGTTTTAGCAATGACACTGTTGTTGTCTTTCTTCTTGTGGTATAAAATATTATCTCATATTATAGGTGGTTTTGCATGTCATACCAAAATGGTCTATTACCATCGGCTTGAATATATTGATAATTTCTTGTTATACTTGTATAGAAGCAATGCAAATATTTGATGGCTTGGAAACCAGCACTGAGGTTCTTGTTGAATATTGCAGGCTATAATAGAGAGAATGGGGGAACTGGAGAAACTTGATTGAAGATGACTCTGCATGAAAGACAAATGGTTCTATTTGCGTCAAAAATTTCTCTTAATTTTTGTTCTGTTTTGGACAGCTGAATCTTTACTGTGTTATTCGGAACCGGAAATATAGAGCTTCCCTTTAATCCGATCCCCTTTTCCCAATGCAGTCCTTGTAACGATACTTTGTTTAAATTGGAGAAGTTATATCTGGTAAAATTTGACTTTCCTTTTGTTCCCTTCCCCTTTTTCGCAATTAGTCCTTGCAATGATTACATTGTTTAAATTGGATTTAATACTTTGTTTTAAATTCCCTAGCCCTTTTTTCCCAATGTAGTCCTTGCGTTTAAATTGGATTGATACTTTGTATAAGCTGGGTAAAATTTAAGCTTCCTTTTATTCCCTTCCTCTTTTTTCCCAATGTAGTCCTTGCAATGTCTACATTGTTTATAAATTGGATGAAGTTTTTCTTTGTTTTCCGTTGGGTAAATTTGTTATCGGCGGAACTGATTTGCAAGTTAAACTGAAAACATCAGCAGCGTCGATTTGAGAGACCCTACAAAATTGAAACAATTAAGCAAATAATGCAATTTGGATCGAAAAGGAAAAGCGGACACAAGGTTAAGCCTGTAAACATTCACAATTACACAGTTTCATATCTTTCGCCCTAAGGGGGTGATCACGAGGCAATGGGCATTAAATATCTTCTTGCTAAATATTAGTCTCTCTTTATATTTCATTCCAGAATCTGTAGGTCAATAGATAAACCAACTGTTGATTGTGTCAACGATAAGCACTGGCTACGAGTTGCAGTTGAAAGAATAAAATAATGTTTACCGTTTGCATCGTAAGCGGAAGGGACCTAATTCAAACTCTAGAAGCGCTCATCACAGAGTAACTGCAAAGGCGTTCCACCGGCACGTAATCTATCGTTCCTTTCTTCGTATATGGATGGAAGATGGTGGTCTGACCTTTTTACTTTGGCTGGCGGCAAAGATGAAGATATGGCAATTTTCGGAAGCTGATGTTGTGTGATTGTATTATACTTGGGACCAAAAGCATCTAGACTTGAAAAGGGAGGATTGGCATTTTGACTATAAGGCATAGATGTAGAGAACTCGGGCTTTCCATTTTGCCAGCTCGGAAATTGGGTCAAGACTGTGAGGTTCCACCAGTCTTGTACGGGCTGCTAGGTGAGCTGCCCAAAGTCGCTGCTGCTGCTTTGTAACTCTCGAATGACTCATGTAAGGAGGGTCACAAAAAGGGTTACTGGGATATTGAGGTAGCTGCAGTTGGACCTGCAGTAAATTACCAGAAAATTAGCATAGCTTTCATGACAAGAAATAACCAGACTAGCACAGAATATAACCATAGTAGCCCTAAACTACCACAAGAAGATTCAACCGAGCTTGTTAAGAAATCAAATTGATGGTCCCTTACTGGTACTGGAACCTAAAAATGCAGCAATTTTATGGATGACCTCACTTATTGGATGCAATTATTGGCAATAGCGATCGCACAAACAGTGATTTCGTTTATCATGTGCTGTTGAATGTTAAAGGTTTTCAAATAGAATTCCCATCATTAACCTATTTTTGCAAGATAGTAAGGAAGGAAAAGGGAGGGAAGACCAAAATAGAGAATTAAACCTGCTGTGTAGCTGTTGTACGGTGGTCTGTGTAACAACTTGCAGGTATTGAGAAAGGCACAGGTGACTGTTGTTCAAATGAATGAAGGTACGGAACTTTTCCTTGCAGTTGTGACAGTGATTCAATTGCATTTCCAACTTTATTAGAGCTATTATTAACGTCCACATTAATGCCCCCATCCGACAAAGACAAGAAATCAAAAGTCTGCAGTAAACAGTAGGTGATTGGGATAGTGAGAAAAGAAAAAACTACAAACAATACAATAGGTGACCTTACCTGCTTATTTGAAGAGTTCCTCCCAGATGCTGAAGCAACCTGTGTCTGTTCCTGATAGACCTCTAGAACACCATTTCTAGCTTCATAATCATTTCTATTGATAGCAGAATGGCCAGAACTGCTACTAGGTATATTGCCTTTTGTAGGATTTCTCAAGTTACTGCCATCTTTAGGATACAAGAGAGCTGTTTGCTTGAGTCCGGTATGGGGTTTTAACTGAAGAGGCTGTTGAAGAATGCTGTCTTTGTCGTGCATCTGTAAATTACGAATGAGATGACTGATGTATAGATGAGTGGCACACCTCTTCGACGACTTCCTATCCATGGTGACTTTTGGAACCTGTAAATCTCATCATTTGTCATACACTTGATTTAGATGCTTGAATGGAAGAGGAAAGTCCATGAATGCAGAGATAACGGGAATTTGAACATGTATACCTTTTCACTCGAAGAACCACTTTCTAATGAAAATGTTCTGGGGCCAAACATTGCAGCGTCCAACCAAGCAGGAAATTTATTAGCAGATGATCTGATATATAATAAAAAGTATGAAGGATGCCATAAAGTTGGTAATAAAAACAGTTATTTATGAAGATAAAAGAGAATTACTTTGAAGAACCAGGGGTACAAGAACCAAGGGCTAAGCTTTGCAAAAATGCAAGACCTATAGGACAACATTATCTCAGTGTAAAGATATTAGCATCCAATAGCAAATAAACAAACTAAATATAGCAATGGAAGAACCCAAGCTGGTATATACCATCTTTTCCTGGCTCCTTGATAATATGTTGCTGTGCCATTTGGTTTTCTGCAGCAATAACCTACAAATAATCCAAAGCAACCATATGAGTTCAAGATTGACCAATGAAATCAGTATTTGATTTTGACCTTGGTGTCAAGCTTATACCCCAACTGTCATTTCTGCCTTTGTCTCAAAAAGGCTGGTCACCGGTTGCTGCTTCAAGCTGCATATGTATGATCAATTAAAAGAGAACACTAGATAAGAAGAGGAGGCAAGTAAAAGAAAAACAGTCGGCACTTACCCATCTTGTAAGGATAGTTCAGATCGAACGTGAGTGTCACCAGGAACGCAAGACGACTTATCAGCTTTAGGTTCACTCCTAGTCAAGAAAGAGATGGAACCAGCCGGCCTCATTTGAGAACGACAACTATCTGGTTCAAAATGGGGCTTCCTGCTGTCTGGAAAGTCAGGCTGATCTTGAGAAATAGTTTCATTCAAAGAATTGCGATTAGCAGTATCGCTGGTTGAATCCTCTAAAAAGTATGGAGGAACAAACTCTGTTGCTTGTGGATGGAAAACTGTGTTTGTATCTTCCTTTTTAACTGCAAAATAATATAATTTATACAACAGAAGACAACAAACAAAAAGTCTTCCAAATACTTGGTAGTGGATGAAAACCTTCAATTGCTATGACGGTCTCTGGAGGAGCTGAAGGTTTTGCTTCTATCGGTTCACCATTCATTTTATTCGTATCAATTGAGTCACCATCAGGGAACATTCCCGCCAAAGCATACAGGGTCTCCACAACCTCTTCCTCATCTTTTGTTATTGGTCCAGAAACAGTCGCCTTCCTGGGCCAGTCTAACTCTCCTTGTTTCTGCAAAAAGCAATTTCAACAGCATAAGCTAAAACAGTTAACTAAAAAAGAACCGCAATCGAGCTTGACAACTGGAGAATTAATGACAATTGACCAACCAAATTCAATTTTGGTTTCTTTAGACCATCCTTTCTATGCACTTCACTAAGTGTATGGTTCGTTTTCTTAGAATCTGGTAGAGGGGAGATCAATTCCTGACTGCGCTTCTTCATGGCTGTGAATAAAATTCCAAATATCCAAAAACATTAATCCCATCAAACGTCTTTTTTATTCCCCTATAAGGATTCAATTTGCAAATTCATTAAAAGCTGGCCAGTACCACCTTTGGAAAAGTAAATTTCAGTATGCAGAAAGACGCAAAAACTCAACATAGTAAAATTAATACACACCATAAAAGTGACAGAATAGATAATATTAAAGTATTGAGAAATAAGACAGCAAAAAGAATCTTGCGTCCATAGGAAGAAAAGAAAAGAAAAGAAAAGGCAAAAAGGCCTTGGTTTCGCTTCAGTTCCAAACTTCTAATCCAAAAGCAAAAACAAAAATTGAGAAACTTCCAAGCAACTCCACAATCAAATGCAAAATAATTTAAAACGACAGGACAAGAAGTTCATTAGCCCTGAAAAAAAAACAAAAGCAAGAGAAAGAAAATAGTTTTATAAAATACAGAAAAAGAAAATCCTTTCCTATTTCTTTTTCAGAATAAATTATTTTCATTCCAAAAAATAATCCTCCTGTTATTCATTCACAAGTTACACACCTGATCGCAGCTTCCGTGGAACAGAGGCATGATTAACGACATTGCAGTCATAAATGAACTGCATAGAAAAATAAATACTTTAAAGCTATCAAATGCAAAGACGAAAAATGTTCATTTTAGCTGAGAGCAATGAAAAAAGAGAAAGCTTACATTTTTGGGTATCTTAAAGATATTAGTGGCAGAATTAGTGATGGGAGAAGAAGTTTTTGGTGAATATGAAGGAGACTGATTTTCGGTATTTTCAGAAGACAAATCACAGCAAAAAGAACTACCCATTTCAGTTTCACAATGTGGGTTGCTATCGGGACAAGGACTCGGACTTTCTCTATGACCATTAACGCTACATAATCTTCTTATTTTCTCTTTCTTTGCTTTCTCTAAAGAAACGAGCTCCCCAGCAGCAGTAAAGCCAACGCCACCTGCAAAATCAATGGAATTTATCACTTAGCTCTTCTTATACAAATAATAATAAAAAGGAAGAACTTAATTAAGGAATGTTATGAAAAGGACAAGAAAAGGGAGGGTTTTAGAGTAAATTTACTAAACAAGATATTGAGGTGAGATTGTTGTTTCTTGGTAGTATTATGTAGTCGCGAGAACCGAGTCATTCCACGCCTCACGTCTCGACTCTTGACCATTACATTCATGATAACATTACAAACATCAAGCTATATTCTTTGGCGGCTCCTTTCCAGAAAACGGCATTCACGGTTTCAAAATAAACGATTCGAAATCCAAATAAACTGATAAAAAGCTTCAAACCAGATCTTGCTTCTTCTCCTCCAATATAACTTCTTCATTTACATAAACAAACAAGAAAAAAAATAAACAAGGTAACAGAAAGATTCCTTTTAATGCAACTCTGTGTATAATTCAGAAATGAGGACATATGAGAGAAAGGAAAACGAAGAAGATGAGATGGATGAACTTT